GGCATCGGTAATACTTAGGGGCTGCTTTTCTTATCTGTGATTTCTGCAGTAAAAAGGAGGGAACTCATTTTCTTTGTCAACCTCCATGGTTGCCACTACTCTTTGACATTTTACTGGCTGACAATGTTATAGTTTCATCGCACAACTCATTTTGGCCCCTCGTGCAAAAACAGAAAAACAAAGCGAAAACGAAAGCAGGGCAAAAAGGCGATTCGAAGAATCCGGCAAAGGCGTGAGCGCGTGCGTTGATGATTGAATCATGCTCAACGGATGCATGCTTGCGTATGCCACTTTCTCTCCTTCAGTTTTGCGTGCTGCGTTAGAAAATGTTTCTTGATGGAAGCCAGGCACATCAGTCAAATGAAAGATTGTGCACCGTAACGCGTTTTGAAACCGAGGCAAATGCCGCTGGGAGAGAAGCGAGTCAGTCTGTTCGAACCCAGTACTGGTCAGTGGATTTTCTGTAAAGTTCACGTTTGTTGCGTCATAATACACTAGGCCATGGAAAATTCAACGGTGTTTCAATCAAAAAAACTTTTTCACATGTTATAATGGATTTCAAGGGCTGTCACGGTGGAGGTAAAATTTGAGGTAGCGTAATCGTTTGCGCTCTGCTTTGACTTGTATCGCTTTGTAGTCATGTTACATGACTACAAAGACTTGAGTTTTTCGCAAGCATTTCAAAAATTGTTCTGCTACATATATATCTTTGTTTTCAAAGCCACCACTTGGAAGCCCCAAAGCATATCGAGCTGTCTTTTCCGGCAAGTGTTGTGTAGATTTTCATTATTTCTCCGTCGAGAAACATATCTCAAATTTACTTTATAGTTCGAAGTAACAGCTTGCACCTGATATAGGAGAGACTTCATTATAGAATAATGTCTGAAAAATTTGGGTCTGAAGGCCAGAACGGCAAAGCTGAGGGAAACTGCTCAAAGGTAATTGTATATGAATAGTGGAATCAGCAGAAGCAGCAGCTGCAGCACACACATCACTTTTGTATGGAATGTCGAAAAACCAAAACCAAATAATCACACGGCCAAGCGAGACAAAGGGAGCTACGACAAGGAGCTGATCAGGGCCCAAAGTACAAATAGAGAGATTCTCTGAAGGGCAGGTTTTATGAGAATTAAAACAACTTACACAAAAAAAAAACCCATCGCAAAAACATGAACATGCTCATACATTCAAATTCTGAAATGTGTCTTCTCTGGACCTTTTCCTGTTTTCGATAGACATTAAAGCCGTTAGTCGCTATTTAGTTCTTTTCATTTATGTCTAGTCTCCAGATTCAGGTGAATCTTCTGAAGAATTGAAGAGAAAGGCTCAATCGGGTAAGAAAATGTGAAAAATCAGTTCTACACATGTACTTTGAACCTGATAAGAATCGCTGATAACAAGTGGGACTTAAAAAGTTCTCCTCCACTGTCAAATGGAAGACAAAGCACTGAGTCATACGACTTTCAGAGGGCCTCGATGGGGCGATGGCTTTTATGGTCAATGGTTAAAATTTTGGCCAATTTACGACTAACGGCCGACCAAAAATGACACAAGATGACACGCTGTAGGAAGAGACAATTCTATAGGGCTAGAATTTTTACCACTGACGATTAAAATTTATCAATCACTACGGCTAGCAGCTAAGTTTTCGGCCGTATTACGGCTAACGGTTGATCTAATTGAGACCATCCTTTAAGTAAATTCAGACAATTCCAGCAGCCATGGTAACGGTCTTAGACTTAAAAGAATTAGATGAAATCCAAAAGGGAAATGGATAGGCGTAGCAGGTGAAAATTTGAAGAGGGAAATTCGTTCAATTCATATGAACTTGAAAAGTATCGGCTCACACTTTTCCATAAGTATTTAGAATGCTTGAAAATGATCCTTTTTGGATTTGTGGGGTGAATTTGCTAATATTGTTTTTGATTAATATGGCTGACAAAGAATGAAAACATATATAACATGAACTGATTTTCTTTTACATAACTCGATCGTCCACCCTAAATCTAATGTTTCGTTTTTATTTTAGAGATTTTGGTGATACCTTATTCATGTTCCAACATATTTTTTCGTTCATATAACTGACGACTGACCCTCAAGACGATTTGCTTTTCTATCATCGTATCATGCTAGCAGAGAACTTCACAGCAGATGAAACTGGTTCAATGATAGTAAAACCCAAAGAGAATGATAAAGTTTGTCACTTCTTGAGGTCTGTCCAGGCATTGTGGGTAAAATGTGATGAGTTTTGTATTGTGCTGCAATGTGAGGGTATGAATGGATTAACCGATAGTCATGAAACGGCTAAAAGATTAGCCCTTAGGCGTAAGAATGACGAATTTTAACCGTTAGTCGTAAAAAAAAAGTTAACAGTAAATTAACGGAAAAGCCATCACCCCCCCCTCCCCAATTTCCTGAGATCCTCCAATTTGGCTTGTACAGCCAATCTTTGAACAGCGAAACGCGATACTGACCTGGTGCTTCTAGATTCTCCCTAAGATCACTGACAACGAGAATGATTTCCAAATTAGAATTCAGAGGCGTTAACTAAGAACCTTGGCGTTTTCTTGTCGCGGCTTATGTATTTGGCGACCTTAAATTTTTCTAATTCCAAAAAATGAAAGCAGAACTAGAAATTTTCAACATCAAAAAAAGAAACATATTAAATATAAAATATCATCTACCTTCCCGTTTTGGTGGGAAAAACAGGCTTGTCCTTAGAATAGCTTCTGCTGAATCTTGGAATATGCCTGATGGAATATGTATTTGGTTCCACTCCTCGTGTCATCCTTCACAGATCTTGGAGACGTCAAAGGACAAATCAAGTGCGGCCCAAAACACTGCAAAAGTGAAGGGAACATCTCAAGCATTAAGTCAGTTCCCTAACCTAATGGTTCAAAGCGGCCAGAGTTCTTATGCAGCAACCATACTAGTCTAGGAGCACACCAGTGAATATGATTTGGAGTGTGTAGAAGTTCAACCGACAAGCGAGGAAAAGGTAAGTGGTTATTTATGATACTGATGTAAAGGGTGCTTTGTAAAACCAAAACCTCTGTCATTTCATGGGTAGAATGAGTGATCATGTAATAGGTTTCATCAAATGTTTTCTGTGAATAGAACTTAATCTCCTTGGCACGGCCTGTCTGCTTCCTTTCGCCAGCAGATACATGTATACGAGTTTGCTCCAGATGTAGGAAAAGAAAAGCCGAAACATTTCATTATTTGACTGGTACTGATTATCACAAAACGGTTATTGACTATTCTGATTTCAGGCTTCAAAATGTCATGAGCTGACTTTAATCACTGAACCTAAAGGGGACAAAGAAGAAAATAAATCATACAACTGGTTAGACTGGTTAATATTTCTTATAGGAGAAGCGTCTTTAGAAACCAGACAATTGAAAACAGCTGTAACAGGTTCGCTAGAAACTTAGATTTCTGGCCATCGAAAACAAAAAAAATAATATTTCCTTTGGCCAAGAAAATCATTTTGTAAGCTTCCTAATTGATCAAAAAGCCTTCCGAGAGATGGAAGAAGGGTATTGAGATTTTCCTAGGACAACAGAAGGTGGCGATAAAAACTACATAACTTTAAGAGCATACTTCTTTAAATGTATGTACCGAATTTTTATTTTCCTTTAAAGAGTAGATATCATTCAGTCTTTTCTTTAAACTAGCGCATTGACACTTATTTAGACTCTGATTTAAGTTACTTGAAATCGCTCTCAAATTTTTTAAGGCCTGTTGACTTGAATAGCAATGGTCACCAAATTAGAACCAATAGCAAGTTGTTTTATGTACAAAGCGTTAATCGCGTGCAATAATACCAGGCTGTATTGGTTCTTCGTTATTATTTGGCTAATTTTTGTTCCGATGTCGAGCTTACGCCATGGGTATGTGCAACTGAACAGCTGCTGAAGCCATTTACTTTGTGCATAAGTAGCAAAGGCCATGTCCACCAACTCGCAACAAAAGCCACAAAATTTGACTTTAACTCCCGGCGTAAAAAAACTGTAATTATCTTTGTGCTAAACTCGGGAAGTAGAATTCAGCTGAATAAAATGAAACTTAACTCTCATAGGTCTCTTCAGTGTTGTTCCATACATAGTGGTGTGATATCGATTACTTTCATCAAACCAGAAATGAAATTACGGCAAATGAACACCCTCAAGTCACACGAGGAGAGGTTTACCAGAATATTGACTTCCAGAGCTAACTAGCCGCAGAGTATCTACAATGGTATAACTTGCGATCGAAATGTATTACAGATATGATTCATTTCCCGGAGAAATGTTTGTTTTGACACTGAAACCATTCATAATAAACAATTATATAATAATCTCGAGATCTCAATCGCGTGATAGTTGATAAGGACGACGCCCAAATCGCAAATCGGCAATTGCTCGAACATAGACGTCAGAGTTTTCACAATGAGGACAATGCATCTCCCGGCATGGAAAGGGGAGATCCACAATAATTTTTTTCTCTCCATTGAATTCTTCTTGGGTGTTCTGCCACCATGGAAAATAATGGAAATTGATTGTGGAGATGCTATTGAGGCCATTGTTTGATTAAAAAATGCAACTGTTCAGCAAGAAATATAAATATAAATTTTTTCGACTCGCAATGTTTAACTGAAATTACCATTATGAAGTTATTTTGAAACATTATATTTTGTTCTACTTTTAAGACCGCGTTAACTATGGAAAAGTCTTCGCTTAAAAAAAAAGGCTAAGATGATGGTTTATGGTGCATTAGTTTTTGCCTGACACAAGTTAACAGATACTTACTGATTCTTAAGTTTTCACAGAATGATTGATTACGAACAAAGACAACGTTCGCTGAGTGATTCAACCGTTTTAGTCTCTCCGGGTGCCTTCACTGCCGAGAAGCTCAGGAAAACACAAAGCTATACAGCATTTCCACATATCAATAAAAAATACACATGCTTCGATGACGAACCTTCCCTCTACTTTTACCGAACATCCTGCTTCAGAATTATGCCCCATCTATCAGAAGGGTCCTTTCACAATGAATATTTTCCAACAATCTCCGTTTTGCCACGTTCGTCCCAGTTTGAAAATTACCCTTTGAATATGGCTGGTGAAATCAGTAGCGCATCTGAAGATTTAGGATGGGAGCTGGAGATAAACGACCAAACCGTGCTTCATACGTGGCGAAGGCCAGCCCAGAGAACGATGTCCTACTCAGAACCTGCTCCAGTTGAGCCTGAGGGACGGGTCCGAACATGGAGCCTACATAATATGGAGGAGAAACGTTCACGAGGCCAGGAAACGATGCACAAAGTTAGAGCGTATCCATCGCGGCTTCAATTTCCCGAACAATCGTTGAAAAACCTGAGAGAAGAAGGCAGTTTATCTTCACTGGGACACACCTCAGAGGCATTTAGGTCTCGTTCTTCGTTAGTGATGTCACTTGTGGATAATTACGACAGCCAAATTGTGCTCAATTTTTTCCATCCCAAGAGCCTCTTGAAGCTGAAGAAGTGATGGGTAATGGGTAAATCACAATCGCAATCGAAGACAATCTATATCCAAACAGCCGTCATTCTTGATGGTCGAAGAGGTAGACGAAGAAAACGAAGCTATGGTGAGAGTAACTACTTGAATTTTTAGAACTTTACCAAACGCTTCGTAACTAGACTACGAGCAGTCCCTCCTTTTCAGAAAATTCCGTCGCGCGATCAAAGGAGAAAAAAAAAACAGTGAGGCTACTCCCCGTGTCCTGTGGCGCGCCACTATCAATATTTTTACACCGTTCTTTCTCCTAACTCATGCGACAGACTTCGTGAAGGAGGAAGGACTGCTCGTAGTCTAGAAAATTACCAGAGTTGATTTCGAAATGTCAAACACTAGCCTAACTGGTAATTTAAAAAAAGTGTGATTCCAGGCAAGGTTGACTGATAATTTAAAAAAATGTGACTCTAGCCGAGGATCGTGCTCCCGCTGATTACAGTCGAACCTGTATTAAGTGGCTCCGTATTGAGGAAGAAAATTAGGATTAACTCAAGAAACTTGTTAAATATTTAAACTGGCACCTCTGGCTTCATCTCTACCAAAGACGGTAATTCCCGAGGGACGTCAGCGTATTTGTAACATCTCTTCTACTGAGCAATTCTGTGTCTCTTATTAAGAGGGCATTAAGTGGTCAATTATGAATAAGGTGGCCTTGTTTATAGTTTTGTTATAAAACTCCCTATCTGTGGAACCTGTATTAAGCGGTCACCCTATATTAAACTCACCATTCCCGGGGATGGCGGCTTAATACAGGCTCGACTGTACCACTAAAATGATCTACCCACTGAGCTAAAGAGAGCTCGTTAGTGAGTGGGGCTATAACAGTTGGTTCATTTGTCTGATACGTGCCCCATATAATGCTAAATGCATGTTACGTCCAAGGTAAAAAAAAATAGTTTCTAAAATTTTTGTTTGAGGTAAAGCTGTAAAACTCTAAAAATAGTTGTATTCGATTATACTTTGCAGGATCATAAGACTCCCTGAGCTGTTTCTCTTGTGAACGAGTTGCTGAGCAAGTCTTGAGTTCTCACGAATTGGTAAGATTTGAAAAGATATAAATATAACCAGTAAATAACAAGTTAAGATCGTAACAAAAATTTCGCTAAATTTTAATGAGAAGAAGAGAAGAAGAGGCCAACCCATTGGGCGGCGTATTATTTTAAATCCAAATTCTTGGTATCCTGTACCAGAACGTGCCATTATCCTGTCGGCCATACAAGTAATTTAACCGTTACCTCCTGTACTGATGGCACCACAGAGCACACAGAAGATGAGGAACTGGACATAAACATTTGCTGCAGCAGCAACAAGAGCTTTAGCTCCCCCGTGATGCCTCTATTCAGGCGGGCGAACCGGTTAGCCTCAAGCGTTCTAACTTTGAGGTGTAGCTAGAAAACAGCGAAAAGTAAGACAAAGAGAAAAATGGCACATCAGAGTGCGATTCCTTGAGTGATGATGTTGATGTTCCATCTTTGGAACGAGAGGCTGATTCCCTCCTCGGAAGAGGTTCCGGCTTCAGAAGAAGTATTCGCTTCAATAACAGAATTGTGTTCAGGTGATTTTTTTATATTTCCCTTGCTATGACATAATAGGACTGCCGTCACCTTTAGTGTTTTATGCAGTTGTTGAGATTGCTATGCGTTTCGCCTTACGGTAGCCAAAGACTTCAACGGATCAATGCTGGTTGAGAAAATCATCACCTACCGAAGAGGCCCTCTTACGTTTGGGAAATGGACTAGGAAGGCATTTTTTAGGTCGGGATTGGCCGTATAAACCGTCGGAATTACGGGCTTGAGAGAAAATTTTAGTCGGGATCGCGGGATTGAAGAACTCTATTGGAGACCTTCAAGAAAGCATTGATTACAATCATTAAACAAACATCCTCAAGCAAAAACACGATTCTTTCGTGCAAACCTTATATGAGCCCATCGGGTGAACTCGTTGTTTGAAACGTACACTTGATTTCTTCCCACAAAAAACTGTTCGGTAGAAAAAGAATCAGGGTGTTTCGTCAAAGCGAACAATAATAAAATATTGCAAAGAAAATTACAAACGGAAATTCTAAGTCTAATGAAGTCAGTTACCCGTTTACTCACAATGAATTCAAACCACCGACACTCTTAATCCCCAGGGTATCAACGAGCACTTTTCATTCAACTACAGTAGTTTGTTCTTGTTTTCTCTTCACTATTTCCCACCAATAGCGTAGCTCCATTTTCTGCATGTAAACGTTCTCACAACCCACAATTCTTCCATTCGCTCTGACGAAGGTCTGACGCTCGAAACGTCAGCTTTCAAACTCTTAACGGTGGACAATCTACTTTATCAAATCAGTTGATAATTAATACTAAATTACCATATTAATCGATGCGCGCGCATTTCTGCAGTAAAAGGTGGGAACTCATTTTCTTTGTCAACCTCCATGGTTGCCACTACTCTTTGACATTTTACTGGCCGACAATGTTATAGTTTCATCGCACTACTCACTTTGGCCCCTCGTGTAAAAATAGAAAGAAAAGCGAAGACAAAAGCAGGGCAAAAAGGTGATTCGAAGAATCTGGCAACGGCCATGTGAGCGCGTGCGTTGATGACTGAATCATGCTCAACGGATGCATGCTTGCGTATGCCACATTCTCTCCTTCAGTTTTGCGTCCTGCGAGAGAAAACGTTTCTTCAGGGAAGCCAGGCACGTCAGTTCAATGAAAGATTGTGCACTGTAACGCGTTTTGAAACCGAGGCAAATGCCATTGGGAGAGAAGCGAGTCAGTCTGTTCGAACACAGTGCTGGTCAGTGGATTTTCTGTAAAGTTTATGTTTGTTGCGTCATAATACACGAAGCCATGGAAAATTTAACGGTGCTTCCTCGTTGCTAAGTGAACCCAGGACGCAAAAACAATCCAAAAAACCCTTTTACATGTTATTAGGGATTTCAAGAACTGTCACGGTGGTGGTAAAATTTGAGGTAGCGTAATCTTTTGTGCTCTGCTTTGACTTGTATCGCTTTGTAGTCATGTTTAGACTGCAGCGGCTTCCCAAGCCAGACCGATATCTGACTTGAGCAGTCTGACCTCAGTTTTTCGCAAGTATTTTAAAAATTGTTCTGCTACATAGATACATTTTTTTAACCCACCACTTGAAAGCCCTAACGCAAATCGCATTTTCAACCTGTTGTATTTGTAGTTTTTGGTTTTGCAATTTATGAGAACTTCATCTCGTTTGCTCGAGTTTCAATTTTAATTCTCTTCAAGTGTTACGAAGATTTTTATTATAGCTCCGTAGGCGTAGCAGGTGAAAATCTGAAGAGGGAAATTCCTTCAATTCGTTTGAACTTGAAAAGTATCGGCCCACAATTTTTCATGAGTATTCTGAGCGCTCAAAAATAATATTTTTTGGATTGTGGTGCAAGTTTGCCAATATTGTTTTTGTTAATTTGGCTGACAAAGAATGAAAACACCATATTCATGTTCCACCTTATTTTTTCGTTCATACACTGACGACTGACCCTCAAAACGATTTGCTTTGCTATCATCAAATCATATTAGCAGAGAACTTCACAGCGGATGAAACTGATTCAGTGAGAGTAAACCCAGAGAGAATGATGAAGTTTGTCACTTCTTGAGGTCTGTCCAGGCATTGTGGGTAAAATGCGATGTGTATTGTATCATGCTGTAAAGTGAGGGTATGAATGGGTTAACTGATAGTCATGAAACAGCTAAAAAAATTGCCGACAGATGTAAGAATTACGAATTTTAACCGTTAGTGGTGATAAAAAAAGTGAACAGTAATGTATTTTTTGCTAACTGCATTGAAATAAAATTAAGCGTCAACCATAAAAGTTATAAACCCTTCTCTCCCCCTCGGAGATTCTCCAATGTGGCTTGTACAGCCAATCTTTGAACAATAAAATGCGATACTGATCAGATGCTCCTAGATTTTCCCCAGTTACGATCACTGACACCGGGAATGATTTCCAAATAAGAATTCAGAGGCGTGAACATTATATTTGCTCAATTAAGCGCCTTGGCGTTAACTTGTCGCGGCCCGTGTATTTGGGGCGCGTCAAATTCTTCTAATTTCAAAACATTAAAGTAGAACGAGAAATTTCTAACTTCAAAGAAAGAACATATTGAATATAAAATATTACCTACTTTCCCGTTTTGGTGGGAAAAACGGGCTTGTCCTTAAAATGGCTTATGCTGAATATTGGAATATGCCTGATGGAATATGCCTGTGGTTCCACTTCTCGTAGGCGTTTCAGATCTTTTCAAAATTAATTGTGGTTTTTCCTTATTTACCTTATTTCCTAATAGTCACGTTTGGTCTCTAAGTCCTCATGAGCATTTCCTGTGAGTCGAGTATCGCCTTTCACAGATCTTAGAAACGTCAAAGGAGGAATTAAGTCCGACCCAAAACACTATAAAGTGAAGGAAACATCTCAAGTATTGAGTTAGGTCCCTCACTTAATGGTTCACAGTGGCCAAAGTTCTTATGTAGCAACCATACTGGTCAGGAGCACACTATGGAAGCCGTAGTGGTGCAAAATTCAACCGATCAGATTGCTGCCAACATCAACATTTATTATTAAGGTCAACGATGAAATTTGTCCAAATTCAACAGCTAATATCAATATCAACACTCCAAACACACTAGATCCAACAATCGAAGTAACTCAACATCAACACAGATTTTCCTAGTTTGCAACCCCAGAGAATCACGTTAAAACCAACACGGTATAAAGCTTCAAGTTCAACAACAAAACAGTTAAAAAATTTGGGTACGAGCGACTGGAAATGGCCGAGGGATCTTGGGACTTATATTTTTATCCCGATTCCAGCAGTAGCCATATTTAGCGAAGCTACCACTATTCACTCTCGTAGATGTTGTATAAACGCAATAACTTGTTCCCAAGATCTCTAAGTGGTTATTCATGATACTGATGTAAAGGGTGCTTTGTGAAACCAAAACTTCTGTAT